CCCTTTTTAAAAAACAAACATCTGTATTGCTGGTATATAAAAATCCCCAAGAAATATTAAGTTAAATAAAAATGGAAAAGGAGGAAGAGGAAAAAAGAAGGAAGGGCAGTTCAGAATAGTGTGTAGTATGTGCCATCTTTGTCGGGGGCGGGGGGCGGGGAGGCCATATACACGCATATGTGCTGGTATGTGCATAATTTTCTAGAAAGATACACAAGAGGTCATTAAAAGGTGGTTTTCAGAGCCAATGGAGTGCTTTTACACAAATTAGAAAAGGGAACCCCTTGCCTCTGGATGGACACTGCCCAGTAGCCGGGCACACAGCTTGGCAAACAGACAAGGGGATTTCAGGCCCTACCAGTCCTTATATCTGGACAGTGAGGACTGGTGGCTTGGAGTGGGGAAGGGGGCTCCTACTTTATAAAAAGGAGACTTTTACTTTACAATGAAAACTTTTCTATAGTATTTGACTCTTGATAGCATGACCTTAGTGTATGCCTTTTTATCTGTTTTACATACATATATACAGAAGCATGTTGACAGGATTGGAGGATCAGGCCACGTTTTATTTTCTTCCTAATAACATGGCTCTGCCCTGAGAAAGTAGAATATCTGAATTCACCTTTCAGGCAAGCCTTTCCTTTGTTCTGCAAAAACTGTTTGACTGGGTTTTAGTTAACAAAATGGAAAGATTATACACAATCATTGTACCCAGAGAAAATCGTGATTTCCCATAAACCTGCATGCAGATGTCTCTGATTCTGGAAGCTGAGCCTTCTGTTGGGTAATACAAATAGTGGTGCACAATTAAGCTTAGCGCAGGTCTGTAAAACCCTGTGGGTTGAGGGGGTACCTGGGAGGAATGTTCTCTGGTTCGGTAAGGATTTAGAACCCACATGCTACAAAGCTTTTCGGTGTGGATGGAGCCATTCAGAGCAATGGTTCTCAACCTTCCTAATGCCGCGACCCTTTAATACAGTTCCTCATGTTGTGGTGAACCCCAACCATAACATTATTTTCGTTGCCACTTCATAACTGTAATTTTGCTACTGTTATGAATCGTCATAACAGTAGGGTATGCAGGATGTATTTTCATTGTTACAAATTGAACATAATTAAAGCATAGTGATTAATCACAAAACAATATGTAATTATATATGTGTTTTCTGATGGTCTTAGGCAACCCCTGTGAAAGGGTTGTTTGACCCCCAAAGGGGTCGTGACCCACAGGTTGAGAATTGCTGGGTTAGACAATCATATACTTTACAAAGCATTTCCCCCGAAATTCCAGTACCCACATGGAACTATTGGGAGATAGTACATAGTTATTACAGAGTAACTTCCCACCTGCCCGCTATTAGTAGTTATTACAATAAGAAAATCTCTGTTTAATCTGGATTTAGGATTAAAGAAGGTCTCATATTAAAGCAACTCTTTGCAAACAAAAAGAGCAGGGAACTTCCTCCTCCTTCTTTATTCCTGAATCTTAACCTCGGGTCTTTTGCAGCTTTAAGTTTTATTTTATGTACCCTAAATTAGTAGCACTAGTTATTGGTCATTTAATCTCCAGTCTAATAGCAATTTGTGAAATATTATTTGGTTCATGTGACATCTTTTGTATCTTATATCTTACACTGTTTTTTGGGGTCCTAAATTGAAACTAGTTTTAATGCTTTAGTTTGTGAAAGTAATACAAGCTAATTTTTAAAAATTCATATGATCCAGATAGGTAACAAGTGAAAACTACTCATAATTCTTTGCTGGGAACAGGGAAGATCAGAGAGGTGGGAGGATCCTAAGAAGGGGATAACTGATTTAAGGTTTTAAGATGAAGAGACCTGGGAGCTGGATCCTCATGCAAAATAGAAATTCACCAGGCAAAAAGAATGAGGAACAGCAGCCTGGTAGTGGAACAGCAAGTACAAAGGCTCCCAGGTGAAATTGTCTCGGGTGTTGGGGTCTAGTGAGAAGTTGAGAGTGGCAAGAATTGGGGTATTGGAGGGAGGGGCATAGTAATTTAAGCTTGGGGTGCAAGGAGTTAAGGTCTGTGTTAGGTCCAGGAGATGGGGTTTATAAGCGGTGGGAAGCCCTTTCAGAGACCTTTGCTCAGGGGTGTGTCCTGACTGGGGAGAAGAATGGATTAGGGGAGGCCTGGGCATGGGGACACTGCTGGCTGGGAGATCAGTATGAAGGCAACTCTCCTGGGCCCCAGCCCAAGCCATGGCCATGGGATAGCAAAAGCACTGGGGTAATGTTAGGAGTGTCCTTTCAGGCCTCATCTGGGCAGAAGAAACACTGATGGCCACAAGGTCAACAGCTCTCAAAGAGAAATTTGCCTGGACACAGTGCGGTGCCCCACCATATTGGGGCCTAAGGCAAAATAAATCAGCAGTACTAGTCCCATCTTCAGTTTTGTTTAAATCTTCGCCCAAGGATATGTTTTTATTGATTTTTAGTGAGAGATAGGGAGAGAGAGAGAGAGAGAGAGAGAGAGAGAGAGAGAGAGAGAGAGAAACATTAATTTATACATTCATTGGTTGATTCCTGTATGTGCCCTGTCCAGGGATTGAACCTGCAACCTTGGCATACTGGGATGACACTCTAACCAAATGAGCAACCCAGCCAGGGCTAGTCCTGTCTTCATTTAAAATGTCAATATTTTCTTCATCAGGGATTTTTTTGTATTAATTTTGATTTTTAAAATATTATACTTAATACTGAATTAGTGATAATTCAATTGATGTTTCTTCCTTTTCAGGTTTAACTCATTGGAATTAAAAATTATACAAAGTTTATATACATTTTTGGGGATACCCTATATTGTTTATCTTGATTTACTGATTTTGGGGGGCTCCCCTTAAAGTTTAAGGTTATTATTTGTTTTACACAAGACATGTGTTTGTTATTTATTCCAATACTCTCTGAATGCACACTGAGCAAGGCATATGCAGGGCGCAGAGCTAAGCTCAACACAGATCTTGCCCTCTTGGACTGTAATGCAGGAGAGAGGTCCCGGACTAAAATCTTGTGACTTGTGTGAAACCTGGGGACAGGTATACACAGAGAAGGGTGATTCACACAAAATATCTCCCTTTGGGTAATTTCTGTCTCAAAGCTGAAGTCTCTGGCCACCATCGGTCATTTTGAAACAGAATGGCACTTTTTAGTGACTAAGCTGGTATTTGCATGCAGCAGAACTTGTCCCCAGTTCCCCCTCTGCCCTTTTCATAGCCTCCGGCCCAACTTCCTCGTGTCCCACTTCCCCCAGCCTGGCCTTGCTGTGACTTTATTGATGTTATATTTAGCTTTTCAAAGTAGGCAGCCAAGTCTGCTTCCATCTGGACAGTGAGTCCACGGTAGAGCCGGCACAGAAGTTTCGACAGTCCCTTCCATGGGTGATAATCCGAGGCAGCCTCCCAAGGCTGAGTTGGCACCCCCAATGCCATTCACAGATGCAGGTGCTGAGGCCCAGAGAGGTCATCCTGCTTGTCTCAGATCACACAGCTTTGAAAGCCTGCTCCTAATTTTGCCTGTCATTAAGGTCGTCACAGAAATTTGGCAGTGTGGCAGCCTTAAGGAATGTCCTGGGTCAACC